CTTCAAGGTTGACATCCGACTTGAATTAACCAAATCGCTTTATACCTCATCAGAAAGCATAGATATATACCGCATTTGTGCATAAGCCTATAAGTTTTATTACTTCGCTTACTTAAACATGGTTGAAAAAATGATGGCCTGCTCTTCTGATGTCCGTCATATGACGGACGAAGAATTAGCACGTTTCACCGTAATCGGAGGAGATTGCCTGGGAAACAACATCAACTAGAATGTTTCAGTTAAATAAATCGACAGCTGATAAAGTGGAATCCCCAGTCATCTTATGATGAGACCGAGCATCGAATCTCTCACCAAAGACTTTCATTCGAAATAGAAGTGAACTCAACAGATATTTAAAAAAAGACAACTATAATTTTATTAGTACATACTCGATAATTTTTTCATGACTATTCTCCTATCGAGGCGTTCTGATGATCCTTAAATAAAAGTAATTAATAAGTAACAGATTAAACTATATAGTATCCCCGGGTAACCTGATCATTATTCCATCCACTTCAGACATGTTGATGGGAATAGAGTGTTTATGATGTAACCTAGAATTGGCCAGTGTCACTATTTTTTAGAAATCCTTGTGGCCTCCTCTATCAAGTCTCTAATGGTTGGTAGAATGCTCCATTTTCAATAATACTTTATTAAAAACTTTACCATGAATTAATGATGAGGCTTGAATTCGCCTTTCACTTTTCAGTGTAATGTATTCAAAAAGGTCCCATTAGCATCCGAGCAGTAACCGAAAAGATTGTTACTGTGACTGTACGGACTAAGAGCCAAGTACTTTGCCCCTTAGACTCCAAGTCTTTAAGCTTGTTGATTCAAATAACACGTTAAGCTTTGTAAACGAAAAATAAGTGACGTATTATATTGCTATAGTAAATAAAGCTTTGCTTCATCAACAATCCAACCACAGAATGTAATATGGGAAAAATGCCTGGCTTTCCCTGAAATTCTCATCTGTCCTGTTGCCAAAGGGCACTCATGGCAATGGGACGTAGGTGTTAACGTGTCGAGATAACACGCTGCAGCTGTATGGTTCGAGTCCCGCTGGGTATGTTGATAAGATTAAGGCGAGGTCGAAATTTCAGTCCACTCCAGCCGGGATGAGAACAACTTTGGGGGAAGCAAGGCTATGTGAAATTCAGTGGAAATGCAAGGCGCACTCAAATAATTGTGAGGAAATTTCACTAACAATTCTTCATCACCTTAAACGAAATAGGTTAAATACACCTCATAGATATGATCTACTGGTAGTCTCGAAGGCCCATGTATAAACAAAAAATAACATTCAAGACTTTATAAGGAAACCTGGCCTCTCCAAATACAAATTTGTGGTGAGGATTTTTGTATTGATAGACAATCCCGCATGTACACCTTTCGAATCCCGTTGGAGGAAATGTCGAATATGCTTTTACAACTTGGATATGAAGTCGCAGTAAATGTTAGAGCAACATGGAAGCTTTTCCCTGAGTTATTGTGGGCAGAATTGTCATCGGTCCCTATCACATTACCACAACGATGTGACTATGTCAGGGACAGAAATTTGGTGACAAAGTCGACTTTGAAGTCAGGCATGAACCATCAGATCAAGGCAAAAATGTTCTTCGCCCAGACCATGCATGTGCTGCGCCTCCTAGTCAAATACCCCATATTGAGCTTTTTATTATAAGTCGGCTGAGTGGTTTTGGTGGACATCCTTATGCATCATTGTTGAGATTCGTAGGCAGATATCATCAAAAGACGACGGCGAATTCATCCTGGCTTGCTATATGATTTTTGTGTGCCATTTTTTATGTTACAAACCACATCATGCTGAACGTCATCTCTTACTGAGATCGACTAACCAAGCATAATTTATCCCATCACCCATAAACTATCCTTTGCAAAAATCGGTAACATTTAAACTGCCAATAGCTGTTGAATAAAATCAGTAGTTAATTGTGTTTAGTGGCAAACACAGTCAGCAATCGGTACAAAATTGACCGAAACGGCTTGTGGAATATGAGACAAGTGAACTATCCGTTCTACATAATCGTATGTGACCTAAACGGAGTACAGTTACAATTTGCTATGAGTTGAGGGAAGTATGCATGGTTTTAAAATTCCATTTTGTCGTGGCTAGAATGGTGTGCTTTAGGAGCTAAAGCGTATGTCTTTTAATCCAAGTATCCGAGTTCGAATCCCGCTAGGACTAAGTAGAGATAATAAGCCAGCCTGGATAAGAATTTCGAAGCGAAATTTAATGCATAAAATCGGCATTGTCGACCCGACGAGACTGGAACATGTCTAGGACAATTAGGCTCTGGAAGGATCTAAAACAAAGATTCATACTAACTTTAAAAATAGGCATCTTTGTTAGTCACCATCCATTTCAAGATGTATGCTCCACCTCGTTTGTACAGCCTCGACTCTGTCCCTAGTCTCAGTATCACCTCAAACCGGACTCGAAGACAGGAGGTGTGGGTTCAGAGGCGGGCACAAGCCCCTTCGAGTTCAATGAACCCGGCCTTCGCCATTGGATATCTCGAGTTGCGTGGCTTGACAATATTCCCAAGGCATATGGACGCAATGCCTGTTCTCCCACAAGGACGCCCAGGTTTTATTCATTTGAGTCCGAATGTGGTTGTTTGGTATCTTTCTGTACTTTGTGGTTTTATTGGGAAGCTGATACATCTCAACTTGGTTGTGCTCTCGAAGAGACCCTTTACCCGGCCAACCATCGGGTGCTTGAAAAAAGCACTAAAACGCTGC